TCATACTCGTTGATTACCAATGCTATTGATGCCTTTCTATCTGGAGACTGAACAGAACCAATCTTCTATTACACATGGTAAACACGCGTAAAATCCACCGCGCAATTAACTGCATTAATTCTTCTGGAAAATGTATGTGCGGTGACAGAAAATGTTCAACTACTCTCGTACACGCATTCGGTATCAAAGTTCCTATATTTAATTCGAGTTATTAGTAATTTCTCGATTATTCCCATCACTATAATAAAGGTCTCGGATTGAAAAAATCAAATGTATCAGCTGCTTCTGACGGTTCCGACTGGTTTCTCTGATTGAAACCTTTCCAGGGTTAACACCGCTCGGGTGAACGTATTTGCATTTAATATTGTGCAAAGTTAATTAACGAAAACTACCAGAACATGGAGAGAGAGCGTGCCATGGGTCGCCCCCCGCCCGCCTTCCCCACCCAGTCCCATAGACATAAAGAGAGCAGCATGACTGTAGCGCTATATATATAGAGAGAGAGAGAGAGACAAAGAGTGGCGAACCAATAATATTTATAAATTTTTAAACAGTCATGCCTCTTAGTATTATCCCTGTATGTCTACGCGTTTGCCCCACCTGTGTCCAATTTTTTCTCTGTGCTTCTCGAGCGCCCTTTCAGCCAGTTCCCTGTTTGCGAATTGTACGTAGGCCTCCCCTGAGCTGCGCCCCGAGTAGTCGGTCAGCAGCGTTATCCCATTTGGCACAATCTCCAACCCTACCCAAAAAATACAACCACCCAATTCAAAACACATTTTATGCCCAAGGTAAGTGCGAATACTGACTCGCCTAGAATCTTTGATTTTTACAAAAAACGGCTGGACTAGAAGTCAGCTTTTCTTTCGGATGGGAATCTTGCCAAGGAAATGCATGGTTTGGTGTAAAAATGTAATTATTTCAATCAGGTTTTCCATCGTCTGCCGAAAAACATGCACATTTTCCAATTGAACCATTTAGTGAAAGACAATGCTAAACTAGCATAGAGGAAGTAAACGGGTTGCACATTTAACCCGTTCTCTTCTTGTATGTTTAGAAAAATCCCAAACATATTATTAAAACGGTGCTTACTCAATCCATCAAAATTTCCAGAGAATTACCTGCTGCTCCATTTAAAAATTTACATGGATTTTTTGCAGATGCAAAACCTGGTTAAAAAATTAGCCTGTGTAAAACTCGATAATAGAAGCAACTGGGAAGTATCCGAAGTTTTGATTTGTGAATAGCCACACATAGATGTTGTTCCACCGAATACTCCCCAATAACTTCAAATATGAATTTTCCAAACACGCAAATCGGATTCAGGGACGATGAAAGAAAAACCAATTTCCAACATAAAACTGAGAACTGCTATTGGCTGGCGAATCTTACCCGTAAAAAACTGGGCGACTTCTTCTTTGGAGCATCCAAAAGGCAATCCGCGCAGCCTCACGCAACCGTCCTCATTCCCATTGTATGGAGTACCGGATCTTTTCACAACCCACTCCATTTCGGCTCTATTCACTCTAAATACTGCAAATAAGTACGAAAAATTAGTACCAAGATAACATTAAAGGTCTCAGTCGTGATTACCTTCGATGTAACGAGAGCCCATATGCTCTTTGTCTTTGCTCTCAGCTCGTTGCAAATCCTCTTCAGTTTCCAGTTCGACGAAAGCCTCTCCACTAGGCCGCCCCTCTTTGCTTAAAGTCAAATGGACTCTTTTCACGCCTTCATCGCCCAAAAATTTGGATATATCATCAGGAGTCGCCGACCATGGAAGGCCACGTAACTTTGCAATGAATTCGTTCTCTTCACTCTCAGAACCCGGTTCTTCCTTTATTGAATTCGACATGATTCTTCGCAATATTCACTGGAAACCTGTTAAAACATCGAGCTAAAGGAGCACCCCAAATGTCGATCAGTTCTTAAAATAAGTCGATATAATCGTTGTTTTCGATACAGCCCATTTTTTTGTTCTCAAGCACCAGCGAAATTCCTACCCTTCGAATGGACAGGACCCATTTTTGATGATTTTAAGAGTTTTCTACTTGGGTTTGATTAGTACCAATGTAAATCACATTTATTATTAGAAATACGTTATTACTTGAAACACTTTGACCAAATTGTTTGTTTGTTTGTTTAAACCAAAAAGCCAGCTGACCCAGAAGGGCCAACAATACCGGGTGTTGTTTTGAGCGGGTTTCAAGCATTAAATCATATTTTCAGTAAATTTCATTTCATTGTCAATTACCAAGTGAATAATACAGGACTTTTCTTGCTATTCCCTCAAGTTCAGCAGCAATTAGCCGACGAATTTAACGACATCTAATTCAAAACAGTTGTATACAATAACAATGTCAATAGTTTGATAATCCGTGAATGAAATAACTATGAGGCCTAATTTAGTACCGTTATTGATCGGGTGGTTGTTCAATAAAACTTACCTTTATTATCACCGCAAAAGGCAGAAAATCGAATCTTGAGTACGGTTGATAAAACAAAATTGCTACTAAAATGGCGTCTAGCCGAATTAAACGTCAAATTGACATTATATGCACAGATCACAGAGGTTATAGATTGGAAACTGACATATAA